AGTGCATCAGTTTCTTTGAATATACCTGGTAAGATGTATAACTCGACTCAGATAGAACTGAGACCGTGTTTAAAAAAGAAAATTCATGATCCATAATTCCACATTACAGTATAACTTCCTTATTTTTAAGAAGTTTAACAAATAATAGTACTGTGTGTCCCAGTATTGAGTTATAAACCACATTGTCAAATATCTCCAACTGAAAGAAACTGATTAGGTGTTTAATCAGTCTGTCAACATAAAATTAACCAAATGAATTACAATCTTGACAAATGGTCATTTATCACATAAAATACCAAACATTTGTTGGCGAGCTTCACGCATAAAGAATTGCTTTCTTGTTGTTGGAGGCGTGGCATTTTTTCAGTATTAAATACAGTAGATACAGAGCATGTAATAAAGAAAGTGTCAATGTTAGACTCTTAGCTTTTTTCACCCTGTTTGATCTAAGATATTCTGCTACAGGTAAAGTTTCCGACATTTAGGATAGCTCCTTTAAATAACTAATCTATGTTAACTAAACTGAAATTATAACATCTCTGTCACAATTGACTCACTTTGCTTCCTGTACCATTATCAGTATTATTATGACTACAAAGAGAGGTCCTATCACAGGAAGCTCTCTACTTGACAGGCAGATCAAATACAATAAACATACTGTAAGAGTGTGCTTGTACAGTCATTTTCCACCTTTATGTTCGGATTAGAACAGAATCCACTGGGATCATGGACTTTGATAGTGTGGAGACATGTAGTAATTTGCTGCCATGGGTGGTCAGACAGTGAAATGTATGGGCAGTAGCCCTGGAAAAAACAGTGACTGAGGAAGGCATATCTTTTCTAAATGAGGGGTTAAATGGCACCCTGCCGTCTAAAGATTGGAATTACTGCCACATGGAGCTCTAAATTGAGTTTAAATAGTCTTAACTTGATATGTGAGATGAATGGGAGTCTGTAGCCATACCGATTACCATTTCACATTGTATTAGAATGTTTTGCCCCACCCCTACTTAGAATATCTCCAGTGAATTTGAATATGAATATGAGCTTGTTTTTATTTATAAATGTAATTACTGTCTGTCTGCAATATTTGCACGCTTGTCAAGTAGAGTGGTCTGTGTGTGCAGAATAAAAGCAAAAGCTCCCATAATTATGTTTACGTCCAGCGATGAAAATCCCAGGGTTGTAATGATCAGTAATTATAAATACTTTTCAGCATGTCTACTGCCTCAGCTGGGACTATTGTGTGGTGTGAAGTGCAGAGTTTGTGCAGCTTAATTATGACATTGTACATGACTAAATGTACCAGTCTGCTTCTGCTCTGCAAAACACTTCCAGTGCATAATCACGCTCAAGTCTGACTTTAAAGAGCTCATTACAGTTAGTTTTCTAAAGAGCGGCTTATTAAACACAGTTACCTAATAAGCATCTTTGGTGGTGCAAATTGGTAAAAATGGTAATGAGTCTGATTAGGCCACGTTTCAATTACGACAGCTTTCACTTCCCTCTCCCTCAACCCTCCCACCTTCCCCTCCCCCAAACCAAAAAAGAGGAAGGAAAGTCCAGCTCTTTATGCTTGGGAATCCTCCTGGAAGGCATTTCTCTCTCTCACTCTCTCTCTTTCTCCCTCTATCTTGCTGTCTCTCTCTCTCTCGCGCGCCACACACACACACACACACACACACACACACACACACACACACACACACACACAGAAAGAGGAAAAGAAAACCGCTCTGCCACCTCTGTGTTTCCTTTCAGCAGCACAGTAATGAATAGAGAATTGTGCAAGCGGCGGTCCAATTTACGCACTGGGAAATTGGATGGACAGAGTGGAGGCCCACTCTTGTTTGCTTAAAAACGGCCTAGGCTACCAGATTAATAGTTCCCAAAAAGGTCAGCATCTCTGTTTCATCGATGATGATCACTGAACCAGAAATTAAACACCATAGCATAGCATAACACCATGGCATCACATGTCAAATGCATTTCGGGTCCACCTGGTCTCCTTTTCTTCAGTGAGAGTGAGATTGTCTATAAAGTATATGATATATAACATAAATTGTCAGGACATCACTTTTATTCACTGTGGTGATTCTAAAGAATTTTGTGCTGTGAAGACAAATGTGTGTTTTCTCAAATTTAGCAGGGTGATAATTTAGATATGAATCAACCAATAAGATAACTCCAAAAATTGCATAAATGTCAGACCAAAACAATTATTTTCCTATACCATCATCTCAAATTTACCATAGAGGATTATACAGATCCATGAATTGACAAACACATTAGTCAAACAAACAAAGGCTGTATTTGTTGGTGGCTGATCAGTGGAATTTGAGCTCGAGCCCCGAGGCTATCTGAAAACATTCCACTAATGGAGCGCTCTGTAATTATACCATTTCAAAGAAAGACAAAGGAACCTGTGGATGTTGTATTTGAATTTCCAGGCAGGTGGAATAAAGGACAACGTTTTACCGTACTACCAAAGTACAAGATCATTATGCTAATGCACTGTGTGTGTCTGCGCATGTGGGTGCATTTGTGTCTATTTATGTGCTAGTGTTTATATGCCTGTTTGTGTGTGGATGCATTTACTGTCCATTGCCATAATCTTTGTCTAAAAACTCAGATTGTTGTTCAAATAGTATTTTTTATAAATATCACGTTAAGAGAAAACTGGTTGACATATTAAATTACTTTACACTTCCACACAACAACATAAATTATGATGACAATATAAATGCGGCTGCTATTGCTGTAATACCAAAACTCTTTTGTTATTTAACATGGTTAAAAAATCTACGTATCCTTTTGTTTCTTTGTGTAGGTTCTGTATTAATAGAACAGACTTTTTGGCTTGTAGAAGAGAAAATGTCTTGTTCCACAAATCCAAATCTCAGGTTTGAGTTATTTTCGATATACACAGTGCAAATCTGTTTTTAGCAGGGTGCTGTATTTATATAATCATCTTGGAAGGTTTCCATTTTATAAAATACCTGATGCTCAGTGATCTCAAGTACACTTTGCGAGTAGCACTTCTTTGATTGTCCAAAGTGGCACATTGTTCAGAGAGGATTAACAGTAATAGAAGAATCTCACTCAATAAGCTGTTATTGACAAAATGGGCCTTGAGTGTTAATGAACTCTGCTGAATGATTTTACAAAAACCATTATCCTGATACTTGCACTGAAGCGTCAGTAAAGGCTGTGAATGGCTCAGATTTTTTTGGCAGACAACACGGTGCTAGTTGCTACTGCCCAAATACTGTTCTGTTTGTTTTGAAGGGAACATTTTCCTCAGCAATAATGTGGAATTTTTTTTATTTTCGAAAGTTTGTTAAAAAAGGTATTTAATGTAGTAATAAAAAGAGGAAAAAAACATCAGGTGTGTGTGACAGGCTGCACTGGAAAGGTAATTTTCCACTGAAGAAGTCTTCTTACATTGCACCCACACCTAACAAAACAGCTGACCAAGAGTATAATTGGGTGACTAATACTTCAGTGAATTAGATTGGTATTATCGAGGGTGTCATTCATTTGCTTCAGTTTATATATATCACATTATCACATTTCAAGTAAATAAGGTTTTGATTTCCATGAAAGACATTATTTTTGTCATTTTTGTTATCCTTCTTACTATCGCCAGCAAATATTATATTTATATAAATAGATTTATATTATATATATTATATAATTCTCTTTTCTGTAGCTCGATGAACCTTTCTGTTCCAGTACAGTATAGCTACCATATTTGTCTGCCCAGGCTTTTTGCCTTAGGCTCTTTTTCTTAATCATTAGCTTGGATGGTTGACAACCATGTGAGCCATAGCATGGATCTCTTTGACTAAAACCTTGTAAATTAACACAATTAGTGCAGCATCATCCTGCTAATTAGCTCCTGGTGTCTAGTGTGGCGGGTGGGCAAATAGCTGTGAGGGAGTCTGGAGGGAATCTACAGACAAACACTGCATTTGTAATCTGCCTCTGGACAGTGGCTGTTTGTTGTCTAAATCCTGTGATATGGACTTAACCTACTGAAGTATAAAGTATAGCACTGCAGCGTCTGCTTAGCAAGGGCATGGACCATTGTAACAGGCGTGGAAAGTTTGGTTAAATGCTTCTCCTCTCATATCTTCTCGTAGCTTTTGGTCAGATTAGCGTCGATGTGAGATGTGTGAGGCTCTGCACACTATCTCTGATTGTTGTGTGCTGTAACCTCTTTAATAGTCTATATCCTTTGAGGGTATAGTACATCCACTGATAATCCCAAGCAGAGTAAAAGATGACAGCATGTGTAAAAACTTTTATTTGCAGATTGACTTTAGGATTGAACTTGATTATTTATGTCATTCAAACCCTTAGGGCCATACAGAGAGGCTGAGAGAGGCTGCAGAGAAAAAGACAAGTGAAGCATGTTTTTTTTTTTTTTTTCTCCCTCACTCTGTGGACTAGGAAGCAGTAGGCAGACTGGATGTGGATGTAATTCATGCTGGGCTGAGGGGTTTGTGTGATGAAAGCAACAGAGCGCTGCCAAGGAAGATTGCTTTGCTGCTCTCCTCGAAGCAGATTTGAAACTGTCTCAGAATGCCTCAGATGAGAGTTGGATTATAGACTGACCCGCAATGTCTGTGTCATTCTGCTCTGTGTTGGGTGGATTATACCACGCTAACCAGGTGTTGGTTCCCACATCCTCATACTGAACATGATGTCTGTTCAGTTAGCATTGTCTGTCATAAGGGAGACATTTAAACATTATGATGCAAGCTGTATTTGAAATTTATAAAAGCTAATATAAAACACTCTTCCTTTTTTTTATTTCCTACCTTTTCTCCACCCAAGCAGTTAGAAAAAACAAGAACCAATTTATGCATTATAAGCTTTTAATTAATTTAATTATTATAGGGCATTTAGAAATATTAGAAGGTTATTTTTTAATTATTATTAACCATGATTTAATGCTTACTTTGACATATTTCTTCCTTATATGGACTATCTAGGTCTAAAGATGCAGTGGACCCCAGAGCACACACAATGGGCAGAGCAGCACTTTGACATCTCATCCACTACCCGCTCGCCAGCACACAAAGTGGAGGCATACCGGGGGCACTTACAGCGAACGTACCAGTATGCGTGGGCAAATGATGACATCTCTGCACTGACTGCCTCCAATCTGCTTAAGAAATATGCAGAGAAGTACTCTGGGATCCTAGAGGGTCCAAATGAAAGGGCCCTGCTGTGTTCCTACTCTGATAGCACCACTGGACTCATGAATGGACGAAAGTCAGAGAATGAGCCCTGGCAGGAGGGGATTTACCCAATGAACTGTGCTCCAGATGTTATATCTGTGAGCAAAGCTGGAATGACAGCTGCCCTACCCCCTACAGATGTGTCGGCTAGCATAGGCAGCTCCCCAGGGGTGGCCAGCAGCTTGTCTGAGCCTAGCTATTCCAGCAGTAACTGTGGGAGCCACACAGCCACTACTCTCCACTCGGGCCTCCCCTCTCAGGAATATACTGCCAGCTACAATGGCTCCTACCTTCATTCTAGCTACAGCGGCCAGAGTACCCCAGCCCTCCCCTCTCCACACCCCTCTCCTTTGCACAGTGCTGGGCTCTTACAACCACCACCCCCGCCTCCTCCCCCTACCTTAGTGCCGAGCTACAATGCTGGGTCTCCAAACCTTCCCAACTACAATTACCCTCCAACAGGCTATCCTTCTCAGGCTGCTGTTGGCCCTGGTTATAGCCCTGGTGGAGCGCCCCCTCCTTCTGCTTATCTGCCGTCCGGTATTGCAGCTCCGACACCAATCCCTCCTTCCACACTTCCTGGCTACACCTACCAGTCCCATAACCATACACCAATTGCACCAACACCTTTGAATGGCAGCACATCCAACTCATTAAAACGAAAAGCTTTCTACATGAGTGGACATGGAGATATGGACTCTAGCTTTGGCAATTTTAACTACAACCAACAGCGCTCTTCACAGAGCCCCATGTACAGAATAGCAGACAGCAGTATCTCAGACTCAAACAGAGGCAATGGCTTTGACAGGAATGCTGAGGCATCATCTTTAGCATTTAAGCCAACCAAACAGCCAATGTCTACTGATCAACAAAGAAAATTTATTATACACTCTGGCAGAGCACTAACTCCCCCATCCTATGGATCAACCAAAAGCTCTGTTGGTGATCTCAGAACTGGTGAGCCCTACAGCAAGTTTGGATCCCCCATCATGAGCGAGCAAACTGAAGAGCACAGACAGCACCTCTCTCACTCCCTAACAGGGCCTGACATTGGTACGGCTACCTCGTCTATCCATGCTGCAGAGGAACAACTGAAGAACAGTGACTCCAACCTGGTGGAGATGGTGACCACAGAAATCCTTCAGCAGGGCCCTCCAGTGGACTGGAGTGACATCGCGGGTCTGGATATGGCCAAAGCAGTCATCAAAGAGGAGATACTATGGCCCATTTTAAGGCCAGATATGTTTAGTGGACTTGCCACATTACCTCGGAGCCTCCTTTTATTTGGACCTCAGGGAACTGGTAGAACAATGCTGGCCCACTGCATGGCCAGCCAACTGGGGGCTGCCTTCTTGCGACTCAGCAGCTCAGCTCTGGTGACCAAGTGGCTAGGGGAAGGGGACAAGATCATCCAGGCTTCTTTCCTGGTGGCCCGATGTCGCCAGCCATCTGTGTTGTTCATCAGAGAGGTGGACCTGTTGCTGTCGGCCCAGCTAAGTGAGGAGAGCCCAGTGAATCGCCTCAAGGCTGAGCTCCTCATGCAGCTTGACAGTATTCTGACCTCTGCTGAGGACCATGTCCTTGTGGTATGCTCCACCAATAAGCCTGAAGAGATCCCAGAGTCCCTACGGAGGTACTTTACCAAGCGACTGCTCATCCCCTTGCCTGATGGGACAGCACGACACCAGATAATCAGCCAACTGCTCTCACAGCACAACTACTGTCTTAGTGACAAAGAGATGTCACTACTAGTTCAGAGGACAGAGGGTTTTTCAGGACTGGATGTGGCCCAGCTGTGTCAAGAGGCTGTGGTAGGTCCTCTCCATGGCATTCCTGGTGCTGACCTGTCAAGCATCCACCCCACTCAGATGAGACCGGTCTCCTACCAAGACTTTGACAATGTGTTTTGCAAATTCCAGCCCAGCATATCACAAAAAGAACTTGACATGTACACTGAGTGGAATAAAATGTTTGGTTGTAGTCAATGAAAGTGACCCATCAAACACAGTTTGTTTAAACCCAGTTAGTTGAATACAGAAGTGTTTGGCCTTCAGTGAACAAGAAATATAACAAACAGTGGTGACATGAACATACTATATACAGCAAAGGGATTGTCCTTGAAGGCTTTAGACAGAACATGACAGTCTGGACATCACACATTGGTATAAATTAATTAAATGCTTTATGTGGCTGATGCCATTTCCTCACTAAAACTCAACCAACTTGGAGAAGATGCCCCCCGTTTTTGTATATACATATATATATATAAATATATATACATACTATTCTGCTGATCTTGAGATTTAGTTGCTATCAAGTGCCTGAGGTGGTGCTGTTTAAGTTTTTTTTTTCACAATCTTCATTGGTGACATGTGCTAATATATATAAAAAAAGCTTTAAAATGAGACAAAAAACTTGCTTTCTCTTTTCCATTAGAACAGTGTTCTACAGCTGTGTCTGTTTCGTGCTCTCTGTGAACAGTTGTGGTTAATTTGATCTTGATTAAATTTATTGACATACAGTTGGGCTTCATTACCGTACACAGATTTTATGTATGTGTAAATCCTTGAATTACAATAACACTGACATACTTTTTTTTTGCTGATACAATACGATTTGTTTTCAAGCAAACTAAATTTGGTTGCTGTACTAGCCTCTCCACAATAGATGAAATTACAAAAACAAACATTACTTTACAATGTGACTTCAATCAAAACAAGACATGAATATATAATTGCTGTTAAGATATTGTTACAGTAGTAATTTACAGTGTTTCACATAAATGTAAAATCCTACCATTATTTCTTTTGATGTTCTCTATTGGAAAACTCAGGAAAGTGATAATGATATGTATAGTACCTCATAAGCTTGTGTCGAAGCACTACACACTAAAAGAGCATTTGGCTTGCATTTGAAATTCCACCATCAAACCATGTAAAGCTATATAATACCTCAAAAAGCTCAAAATGAAATGAGAAGGTTCCTACAATGAATGTATGACAGTAATTCTGGTTTATTTACAAGACAAAAAAGTCATTCGTTTGGGGTTCTTTACCATCTATAGTTTGTGCTGATGCAGAGCTGAGAGAAATCCGAAAGGTTCAGACAAACATCTTGGGGTTGAGGAAGACAACTGCCCCGAGCTATTTCATTCCATCCAGCTGCCGTTTTATCATTAATGAAACCTAAGGATTATGTATAGCCTAAGTTCCTTTCTACCTCAGTTTGTTAGTTATCTCTGAAAGACAAATTCATGAAGACAGCAAAATGTCAGCACCTGTTCTGCCTGTTTGATGAGGAAACCTTTTGAGAGAACACCAAACGGTATTTTGTTGTGTGCAAAATCTATTAGCTTTACATTTTGATAACTCCCAAGAACCCTGTTTCTCACCACATAATGCTCTTAAAGGGGAATACCACTGAATATCGGGTTTGGGATACGCTATGCCTTTGCCTTAGGACAATTTGGTCTGTATTAGCTGACATTCACCACTGGATCTTGTTGCCATTGCTTGTTTGGCCCCTGAATCTGTGATGTCAAATAGAAAATCTAGATGTGACAGTATTCGCAGTGATGTTTGGGATGGATTTTCTGGCTTGAAACCAATTCTATTATTTTATAAGTTTACAGAAGAATTGGTTCGACTGTTTTGGGCCATAATTGTAACATTCATGAATTGAGTGGCATTCCTTTTTAAGAACATGTCTTGAAGGCTAGTCTCACTGTACACAAAACTGTTATTTTCACTCTGTTGTCATTTTCACACTTAAACTGTTCTGTTTACAGTGCTATTAATCACTACTTGATGCCATTAATCAGTACAATTCCATGCAACATTTTTTGGCAATGAAGGAGCAGGACTGACAGCTGAATTGGCAAGTAAAAACGTTATTGAATGTATTATGTCCTCTGAGCAGTAAGGAAAGAAAAGCACTCGCACATTGAAAAATGCCACTGAAGTAGATAGCACTGTAGGTGTAGGCGTATAATACTGCAGAGGCACTAAAGGACCTTGTGTTTGTTTTTTAAAGGAGGTCCCTTCATGTTTGATGCCTATTGCACATGTTTTACCTGTTCTTTTTCTGTTGGACAGTGTGCGTATTGATCACTGCCACCTGGTTTGGTATCATTGACTCTTCCAGACCTTAATTAGGATGTATCCAGAGCATCCAGACAATATCGGAGAAAGCTAGCAAGCTTGACAACATTAATATCTTGTTGTAGTTTCACATTATCTGTGTTATATATTTATATGTACTCCAGTCGTAAGATGGGTGACAGCATTTTCATTGAATGCACACTCACTGAAGTTATTGGTAAAACGTTTGCCTCAACCCCACACTATTTGATCAACCCAGAAGCAGGATTATTATTTGTTAAATTCAAAACATTGACCATAAGATACATTTTGTCCACCTATAAGTAACTGAAAAGAAACACTGTAGAATATGAATGCCCATTTATATTTGTATCGTTTTCTTAGATTGTATGGATGTGGGTCCTTTGATTTTAACTTCAAAATACTTTTCACAATTGACTGGGTCACTTCTAAAGATGTATTACCCCAAAGTTACATATCTTTAATAGAAAACTTTAAAGAGGTATTCATTGTTTTCATTCATGCTGTTCAAAAGAAGTTTGATTACACTTAGACCAAGCTCTTTTTTTTCTGCGACTTATAGGTCCATATAGCCAAATTTGTTTTTAAGTGTCCATTTGGAAGCTTCAAGAAAACCATGTAGTTACACAGGAAATTGGGCCTTTATTTGAAGTAGTACAGTAGTAAGTGAGAAAAGAGCTTAAACAATTCAAGAGCGCCTCTTAATATTGTCTCATTTAATATTACACTTTGAGGTGTTTATTGGTTGGTATTTCCTCGAAGCCAAAGCAAAACAGCTTTCTTATCAATTTAATGATTTGTTCTAAGAAGTTGTAAGGTTCAGTGTAAGCTGCAGATAGTTGACACTGGCAAATTTATAGCACTCTCACAGGGCATTATTAAGTTATTTTATGATGGTATATCAAAAATATTCTCAAGAGATATGTGACTTTTGTTAAGCATTTTCAGTTTGTGAACAGTCATTCGGCTCTTCCTGAAGTACAAATAGAAACATTGCTAATTTGTTTATCTTTAAAAAAAAATGCAACATAGATATTAGCAGAAAATGTTACATGCAACCCAGTGTACTGTCGCACTGGAATATCATTTCTGCATCCATGATTGCTAATTTTAAGAAGTAATTCTTGACAAGAATGCGATAAGAAGCCTCAAGTGCCGTTAACAAGTGTAGATTTCACGAGTTTAAGAGGTTGACTGTTGATGAACTGACAGAGATGTAGGTTAAAAAGGGGAAATGTTCCACTCAAATTAAGTAGTACTTGCAATCACTCTGAAAACAACAGATCTCGTCACATATTATCTTCTTTTTTTTTTTTTGCTTTTTTAAATTTGTCTCACTAACAGTGCAATAGAGCACAGTGTAACACAAGGCACATGGATAAGAAGTTACATTTGTCTGTTTTTAATTGTCATCACCAGACAGTTAAAACCTAGATCTGATATGAGAAAAACAATTACTCATTTATTTAGAAAGGGTGTATATTTCACATGCTATAGCTGTTATCATTAAAAATAGTCTTTTGTTGTTGAGGGCGATGTAATGAAAGGGCCAACAGTCATAAACAACACTTGAGCAGAACCTATAATAAGCACATCGAGTCTCACAGTGATGCCAACTCAGTCACTTGAATTGCTTTTTTTCAAAATCTGTCAGTATTTCTGTGATTACATTTTGTTGAGAACTGCTTAAGATTTTGATTCCATCCTTCTGTAGTTTTATAGTGTGGCTTCTTTATAACCATTTCTACCTCATTGCTACATATTGTACATGTAGTACCTATGTCCTGTCGTTTTGAATGTCATGCATTTGTGGATAAAAAGTTAAAACAACAACAAAAAAATTTAACAAAAATAATAATAAAAGCTTGCCCTTGAATCAGAGCAGTCTACCTCAAAAAGACTGTCTTTACACTGTCAAGTACAAGTCAAAGAAAAAAATAAGGCACCTTGAAGGCAAAGATGAAGTTAACCTGCACATACTGACGTACAGTTTATTTACAATACCATGTTTCCATTAAATTGTTGTGGGCTGTGTAGGTCTTCTACAAGGTCGCCAATGCAAATTAATTTACTAAAAAGTACAGTAACAAATTGCTTTAACCCTTTGTTAATTGTTGTAGTGCGCATGTTAATGTGTATGTATGTGCACTTGCAATTCCACATGCAAGTATGAGGGATAACATTAAGATATGAAAAATCTGAGTTTTTACTTTTCATATACATGTACAGAGAATAAACTTGCACATAGCTGTACGTATTGTACATTTGCTAATGATATACAGCATACATACGAAAAATGCACCACAAACATGTTTATATGTGTGTATGTATTGCCATACTTACAGTACAGTCAGTTTAAATGTATTTTAATTTCAAGGTACATAAAGGTTACTGAAATACTGAATAAAGATGTTTTCTTTTTTTCCTGAAAACTGGATGCATTTTGTACCTTTACTTGATTAAATTTGCAATGGTGTTATTGATTTAAGCCTGTGCTATTTCCGTTTCAAGCTATTTTCTTGTGGAAGACAATGTTCAATCCATGACAACTTGAATCATAATTTCTTTATTTAACTGGTGTTATAGTGAGAGTAATTTAGTTTGCAGCAGTTTACAGAGGCTGATTTTAAGGCTTACTTTTTATTACACTTCTCCCACCAATACACCTCTCATGATCCATAATAATTTATAAATCCATACTGGCTGTTTTTATTAGAAAATGAATTAACAGCCATGCTTAAAATTCCTCTTTCATGGTATCATTAAGTAGTAGGTGTTATAAGCGTGGGAAGTTTCTGTGCAATTAACATGAATGAGAAAAGACACAGTATATTGTGTCAGTGTTGGTAATTCTCTTTTTTTATCCTGTGAGTACACCAATATGAGCTGTGGGTGCAGTTCATCATTAGATCTAACTCATATATTTCATGATTCTTAACACGGGGTGAAAAACACAGAAAAGAAATCTAATACATTTTGTACTTGTATTATGTCATTTATGCCAAATCATTTGGGGAGACATCCATACTTTGCACTGAAAATTGTAAATAAAACATGTTTTCATTTCCATAGAGCTTTTCTAAATAAAGACTTGAGTTGTACATGATGTGGAGTAAAATTAACTAATTTACAAAAACTAAGGGGTGTGAAAAAGGTAATTTCATATTATAGGTGCTTGTCAATGTCTGAATACCCTCCCTCACAAGCATTGATAAGCTTGTCAAGGCGAGAGCACTAACACTTCAAACATTGCCGTCTCCCATGGAGAACTGTCCTTGGAGGATAGAATTGTTCACTAGTCTTATTCAGCATCGCTATTATGCTGAGGAACATTGCCTGACAAATTACTTCTACTAGAAAACTGGAGTAATTTAGTAAAGATAATTTTAGACATTTCATCTCTGAATGAAAAAAAACGTATTAAAAGTTATAAAGAGACAATTCTAAGATTTTTGATTAAAAGCCACATCCATAATATTTCTTAGTCTTATGTCTTGCAATACTAATCAATGCGAAATTAAATGTAATTTTGCATATTCATGTTCTGTGTACATTATTTGCCTAAACTAAGACAGGAAACCACATGCTCAGTTCAGGCTGTACAAAGAGGTAAGTATCTATACAATTCATATGTGTGATGACAACTGAAACAATTTCAGTAGTATGATGTAGCCACTGCGTAGTGCAACCGACCGTCTTAACACTTTAAACTGAGTCTCTGTAGTCGGGTTTCTTCATAATATTGTTCCTATAGCAGGTTGTCCCTTTCACAGTGTTAAGTGTGACTGATGTTTGTTGTTGGATATACACATGAAAACACCTAACTTGCATATGCATGCACATGCTTTGTTTTCATGTCTAGCACCTCACAGTGTCTATCTTGGGATTGTGCCATAGCAGCATGTCTGTGAGCTAGATAGACAGATATATATATATATATATATATATATATATATACAGTACACATTCTCCATCCTGCTGTCTCTGAAATTCTAGCAGCAAACATGCCCTTTGTTTCTTTCCACTGAATTTTTAAACAAGAGCCATTTGACCAGAAGAAAAAAAATCAGGACTGATAAGAAAAAAATAAAGTTGAGTCAAACAAATTACACTCAAGTTATTAGTGGCTATTTTGTAAATATCAAAGATCCACTTGTCCCAGTGTTCTGTGCTTCATTTGCATTCTGATGAAACTGGAGTGGATGTGTGTGAACTCAGAGGTTATCTGTGGAGCTGCAGCGCTGAGCAGACGAATCAGACAGCTTCGCAACCACATGGCTCAAGAGGATGAGCCACAGACCTCTCTCAAATCACTTCCTTCATAACAATTAAAATATGCAAAGTGATAATTTTCCTTAAGTAGCCTTAAATGTGCAATCTATTTAAATGTGAGGGAAATTGCCTAAAGCTTGCGGTGTGTGTATATGTAGGGGGTGGGGTGGGGGGATAAATTATGCAAATAACAGAAAGGACTCTTGAAAGCCTAATTTTTCTGTAATAAGCATACTGTTTCATTTAATTTTTTGTCTCTTATTAAAAGTGACAGTTCTTTTGCTCTGTCTGATGGCTATATCTGACACAAGCCCATGGAAGTGACTGCTAGACTAAATGGTAAAGCATTTTTGTAGCTTTTAGATGATGGTTACATTCACAAAGTAATTATGCACTAGAGAGTCCAGAAATAAGGTTTAATTACACAGTAATCGCTTCTGATGGACACTAGGAAGTGTGAACACTGCCAGACTGCAATCCATCAATGACAAACCTCTGGCCAGTTTTAATTCCTCCTCATTTGCATCATAACCTCGGCACCAAGTTGCACAAATGCTGTTAAATGTTAATAGGACCTGTCTCTCCACTCAAAATGGATGCTTAAGCCATTTCAATTCTCCCTTTCTCTCTCTATCTCTTTCTTTCACTCCCTCTCTCTCACCCTCTTTCCCTCATAACACACACACACACACTCTATCTCACACAGTCCATATCTCGTCTCTCTCGCCTCAATTCTCACATTCTCATGAGTCTTCACATAAATAGCCCCTCTTCAGAAGGGAAGCTGAGCACAGGAGACAGTGCACGGTCACTGCTGTGCTAATTGGGAGCAACATGTAAAGTTTTATCTCTTGAGTGCTAACAAACCATACAGACAAGTATAATTCCTTGCTGTGTGTGTGTGTGTGTGTGTGTGTGTGTGTGTGTGTGTGTGTGTGTGTGTGTGTGTGTGTGTGTGTGTGTCTGTGTCTGTGTCTGTGAGTACAATTGAGAGAGACTGTCTGAGTGTGTGTAACACACAGCTACAGAGTATAAAGGTTTGTTCACACCATGTGAGGGAAGGCCCTCAAGTTATACCAAATCCCCATCCTAGGGGACTGGAAGAAATTATGTTTTTATTAATTGAAAATTGTTATTGGTGTGGCAGACACATTTCTGCTCCTCTTCAGACTTTTATAAGGTTGATTAGAGCCAGGATGTCTCATTATCAGCCCATCTCCTTCCATATATTGTGAGTATGCTCGTTATTATACATAGGACATACTGGTGTACTGCTGTGTATTTCAAATGCACACAACAGTTTGCAAAAGGTGGACATTAGACCCAAAGGACCACTTGTGTGAACAGAGTGGACTGTGTTTACTTATTGTAATAACATGGAAAACAGCACATTTTGTACTTTACTAATCCCTTTTCAACATCAATCCCACCATATACTCTTAGATACTTATGATCTGACCTTGTTAATCCCCAGGCATTCGAAGCAATTTTATCTTGATTTGAAAAAATAATGAGATGTATGGAAACAAAGACAAAGTATATTTGCAAGTCAAACTGTGACCCATGAATATAATTAGAGTGTGTGAATGTCTTCAGTGTTATTTTCTCTGTTTCTCTGCAAAAATTCTAAATATTTACTTTTACAGACATCCAGAATTTACCGTCAGCAGTAATTACCGAGAGCCATCTTGTCACCATTTTAATTTTTACACATCTTAACAAGAGCTGCAAATAAATACTTATTAGTGAAAAAAGTCTTTAAATGTTTCCTGTTATTTAACAGCTTTCTCCTGTACACATTTTTAACCAGCATTGGAAAACACTGCAAGGCTGCTTTTATGAAGTGTGAGCTACAGTGCAGAACTGACATCCCTATATGAAGTTTCACCGCCTACATGTTAGTAATGCTATCCCAATCACATTATTTTATGCCTCATGTCAAAATATTTTTTACAATTGGTAATGGTGAAAGTATCTTCATACAGTTATGTATTTGTAGGTATATGCAGTACTGAAAAGTAATGGAAGAAGTATTGAAATATTTGACTGAGTAAAAGTAGAACTACCGTATAAAAATACTGTTAAAAGTAAAACTCTGACATTTGAAATATTACTTGACTAAAGGTATTATTAGCTAAATGTACTTGTGAAAAATGACAACAGCAATGAGTCTTAAGTGTATCATATATATGATATTGTAATATTATTACTAATGAATTAACATTTTAATTTTGTCAAAGTAGAGCAAATTGTAAAAACCATACATACTGTTGGGTAGTTTATAACCATGCATATTTTTTTTAAGAAACTGATTAAATGTTTTACATGTAAATAATCTGCAAAGTAACTAACTAACTATAGCTGTGAAATCAATGTGATGCAGTAAAAAGTACAATATTAACTGTTTTGGTAGTAGAAGTATAAAGCAGCAATAAATAGAAATACTCAAGTTTAGTACCTCAAAATTGTACTTATGTGCATAATTTGAGTAAATATATGCAATTATATTCCACCACTGATTCTGAGCTGTAGTTTCTAAAATGTTCTCCTGACTTTAATCAGATTTTTGATGTTTCATTTACCTCGTAGTTTTCCGTTGTTGTGATAATGCTGGTGGTGATTTTCACATTTGGATACACACATAATAAAATGTTCTGTGTCAGAACCCTCTGATGACTTTGGTGTCCCGTATATTCATTACTGCCCACAACAATTTAATAGACAGCAGCTGAAACATTCACAACTTTTTTTTTCTCTTCAGCTGCCACAGTGAGAGCAAGCCGTCTGACTCGGGGCGTAGAGGTCAATTTTTCACATTCAACAGCCTGAAATAGGCAAAGTGAGGAAAAACTCTGCTGGAATCACCTGTAGTTTATAGCAGCGTATATTAGTGTTGCAGCAGCGGGAGAGATGTCCCTCTCGCTCAGCATACACTGAGCTTGATAACAAGCTGGCCTCCTGCACCAGTGTGATCACGTCTAAATGTCCTCAGGTCAGTGCCGTCAACTATCCACTTCCTATGTTTATAACAAATTCTGGGTTGTGCACTGTAATATGGCTTTACAAATGCAGTACACTCCTGTGTGTGATCTCCACGATTCGGATAATTCCTTTTCACATTTCCTCAAAGTGGCCAAAGTGGCATGTAGTTACCATTACTGTGTAGTCTTCTTTGAAAAATATAATGATGGGATCACACACCATTCCTGTAACACCAGGCCAGTGCTGCAGTATAAAGTCAATGGTATAACATTCACTATGGAAGGATTTTTTAAATTCTTTTTTCTCTTCACCTTTTATACATTAAGTAATAATATCACATTCGAAGTGGTGTCACTCCTTTGTAGCTGTTGAATAGTCAATCAATGTGTTAGTTTTCTATAAATTAAGGCATGACGTCAAAAGTGAACTAAAAGTCTGATAGTAGATTTTTCTTAATATCTTAATTACAATCAAAAATCCCTAATAAATTGTAATATTTGAAGCTTCTATGTACCGCAGGTCACAAACATTCAACACAATAGGAAATAATGAGCTTTATTACAGCTTTGCAGTTGCTTTAAAATAAAAGTTGATATTGCTGAAATACCATTGCTGACGTAAGGAGGCTTTGACTGGTTGGATTGGTGGATCTCTTTATTCTGTCTTAACCCCTGTCTGGGAACAAGTGGAGCTAATGGGGAGCAAAGACAGAGGAGTGCATGTCCGATAGCCACACATCCTCCAGTCAAGGCAATCATAGGAAACACAGAACGTCACTCTTTCAATTTCATCCTTTCCACTGTGCAAGCCGCCCTCTGTAACGTCATTATCTCCAGCAGATCTGCAGGGTCC